TTCACAGCCTCAAATGCCAAATCTTTTAATTACAAGAAAAACAATGCAAGAAAGTGTCTGACTTTATAAAATCTATTTCCAGGTTCTGTGGTGATTATTTGCCAGATGATATAATCAGCACAGGTGAGAGCCCTCACATTTTCACATCAAAAGAACACAAAGAAACATTTGGATTTAAAGCAATACAAAACATTTGTTTGTGATGTTTTCCAGGGAACGTGATGACACTGAAGTTCCTCTCTGATGCTTCGGTTACAGCTGGGGGCTTCCAGTTACAGTATATTGCTTTTAATGCATCTCTCCCACATAAATAAAGCCCCTCCTTTGACTGATGGTTTAATACACTGATATAATCCTGTTGCTGTATTTATGATGTTACCTTATGTACTTGATTAAAAATTCTCTGTAGCTGATTAAAGGAATAATTATTTGAGAAAAATAAGGATACATTCTTTTTTTTTGTCAGAGCTGGTGAAAGACAGGAGAAGATAATAACATAAAGACAAGAAGGAGGAATTGAAAAAGTAAAGGGACAAAAAGAGAGAGAGAGAAAGACAAAAGTCGTTGATAGACCAAACAGATCTGTGTCAAACACACAAACAAACAGCACCTAAAAGACAAAACTGAGACAGGTACACAACCAAACAGAATTTAGCTGTTGCAGTGAAGAGGTGATTGAGACCGCAAGGTGAGGAAAGCAGACCCAGGACCCATGTCAACAGCCCCCACTGTCCCGACTGACGAGCCCAAATTGGGGGCCCAGCAGGACACGGGAACATTAACCCACTCAATCAACAATGCTAAAATATTACATTTGCAGCATTCTTCATCTGTTCTAACCACTAATGGGTTCTGTATTCATTCCAAGTTTAGTTTCAGGCATAAAATTTTATTCAAAAAACAAAAACAACACTGGCTGTTACATAGGGTGACTGTAACTCAGGTGGTAGAGCAGAAGGTTGCTGGTTTAAAACCTTGGCTACTCCAGACTGCATGCTTGGGCGAGACCCAATAAGCACAGATAAAGTGCTTTGAGTGCTCAGGAAGAATAAAAAAGCTCTATATAAGAACTACCTTAAAGTATAATGTTTTGTGCTGTCTGTTTTGTTTTTTGTTTTTGTCTGTATACTTAAATACAGCAACCCACCCCGGATAAGCAGAAGAAGATGGATGCATGGATAGTTAAATAAATATCTACCATATTAGCAAAACATTTTTATTATTAGCTGTCAATGTATTTTTTAGAACCATTCCTTAAAAAAAAAAGAACATAAAAGAATAAGCAATAAAACGCTACACTTAAAACTGCACATATGGAAAAGATATATATAAATCTTACAAAGTTTGTATCTGTCTTGTGTGAAACTTGTATGAAAAGCATACAAGAGTAAAAACAGATACAAGATCCCTTGAAAAATCATATCAATGAAACTTGTATGTTTTTGGATACTTACTAAAACAATATATAAAAATGTAATGAGAAAGTGGCCACTTTCATGAGTAAATCATATAAGTCTTATATGATTCACTATATGAAGTAGGCCTCATCTTATGTCAGTCTTTCATAAGTTTTTACTATTTCTTTTCCATATGGGTGTATTATTGGCAAAATGCACATAAATTATCAAAACTAAAAGGCTAAAACTATCACGTTTTTCCTTGATAATGTGCTAAAGGACTTATTAAGAGTTTCACACTGCACTCCAAATTGGTCAGGAAGGAAAAAACTGTCTATTTGCTAATGCTAGTTTTGTTCCACACAAAATGTGGTTTGTAACTGATCTCAGAACAGTGAAAACAGAGCCAGCTTTAGCTTTCCTAGCCTGCTAATCTCCCAACGTTTTCCTGTTAGACACTGATTTACAATGCACATGCTCAAACAAGGAAAAAGCTGCGAGCTGTTATCCTCTCGGCTTGACAAGCTGAAGTCATTGATTACAGGAGATGGACACTTTTATACAGTCACTGAGATGGAGATGCCCGTGAAATGGAGCCATGCTCCAGTTTCCAGTAAGAGCCAAGAGAAATATGCTTTCAGTGACAACAGTTAACTAAGGCAAAATAATAACAGTAATGTAAAGGACTGATAACGGACTCACACATTCCCACAGAGCTTAAAATATCAAACTGCTGTACAGAGCTTTTCCTCTCACACCACTTATTTATCTGCAGCAGCTGTCTTGCTTTCAAGCTGTGTGTGTAACGCTTCTATTTTTTTTTAATTCATTGTGCCAATGCAATTGCATTGAGGTGCACTACAATTATTTGTCAGACTTATTATTTGATTTATTATTATGGTCATTTTTTATTATTCTCCTTCTTTGAAGGTTCTGGCTTTTCTGGATATAATGAACTCCTCGTGCATTCTGTGGACAATATGGCATCACACTCTGGAATGCGAGTGCGTGCCTGAGTAGTTCCTGTTGGCTATTTCCAGTTTAAGCATTACTGCACTGCTTATAGAAACATGTAAGGATGAGCAGATTTAGGGTTAGAGGAAGGCAACTGGCATTTCAGCAAGTTAAAAAAAAAAGTTGTTGTCACAGTCTGGCTGCGAAGCTGACTGTGTGAGGAGTGGAAGAGGACCAAATTGCAGTCACGCAAAACTAAACTTGATATTGACAAAAAATGCGCCGTTTATTGAGGCTGATAGAACAGCACAAAATAAAAGGGTGAAACAATGCAAAGCTAAACAAAACCTAAACTGGGAAAACTTAAAAGAAAACATGAAGCATCCTAAACATGAAAAACTTGATGAAGAGGAAATAAACATGAAAACCCTTAAACGTGGTAACTTGACATGAATAGAAGGAGGCGTGGCAAATTCCTCTCTCTATAATTTGGAGATTAGCGTTCATTAATTTCCTGTTGATACTGTTGTTAGAACACAGTGGCTAATCAACATCCACAAGGACAACTTTAGTACCACAAAAAATATCTGCGTATGTAGCAGGCACTTCAGTGAGGAGTCTTTGTTGTGACTGCTGGATGACTGAGGAAACTGAAAAAGGGAGCTCTATCACTCACTGTTTTCATGGGATGACTACAAAATACCCACAGTGAATGTTTGGGAGCAGCGATCACTTCAATGGAACTGAATGTCGACTCTGAGGCAGAGATGGAAAAAGCAGGGCCTGATCACGATTACTGGGTGCCACCAAAAACAGCAGCGATGGCAAAGGAGATGGCTAATTAGAAACAAAGCCTTACAAACACCAGATAGAGGTGCTACAGCTGCAATCCCATTTTTTCATACAGCATTCTGCAAGCTCAGACGAAGACATTTGTTTTTACACCAGGTAGGTGGTGTAAATCTTTGGGACACCACATCAGAATTCAGTGGTTCTGTGGCTTCTGTAAATTTGTTTCATGAATTGGGGGCTTGTCCATTCTTTTTTGTTGTTTGTTCTTTTCGTCGTATGTTGAGTAAGTTGCTTATATTGTGTTGGGTAAGTTGCTTGTATTGACCTTTGTTCCCCACTACTTTTCTGGTTGGCAGTTTTTTCTTGTCTGTGAGGGTGTCATAATGGAGCTTAAGTTGGAAGACTTCACTTTAAATCCAACTTAAGTAAAGTTGAATAGATTTAAGAAGGGTGACTTACTTACACTTACTTACCCATCCCAGTTATTGAAGAGCCATTTCAGCATGTTTTTGTTGAATGTCTCGGACTACTTCTAAAAACAAAATCAGGAAACCAGTACGTTCTCACAATGATGTGTACTGCAAACCGGGAGTGTGACGAGGGGCTGCCTCTGCTGTTATTCGCTGTCAGAGAGACAAATCAGAAACCTTTAGGGTTCAGTCCCACTGACTGTTTTTGGCCACACTATACATGGACCATTGCGTCTGTTAAAAGAAAAATTCCTCTTGGACAAGTTAAATTCCAAAGAGAAGATACTTGATTACATTAGCTTGAGGCAGCGATGGAGCGACTGCATAATACCCGCAGTCTTGATTGTAATGTTTTTCATTGACCTACATGTCATCAGGACACTGCTCCCCAGCACACGGTAACATAAATGGTTTTAAACTAGTTTTATGTTCCATGACAATATTTGTCCTCGGTTCTATGTCTGGAATATACCAGGTGTACCAAAAACATTATTATAACCTGTAGCAGCAGATTGTGAGCAGGACTCATGATAGCCAGCCGAAGGGCCCACTAGAGGCCCACTTGCAAATATTACAAATGACATATAATACTTAGCAAACACTGAGAATTAAAAAGTCATTTCAGTCTAACCTATTATGTCAGACATACTCTAAATCTGCAAAGAATGAACATTTAATCATAGCTTGAAGAGAAAGATCAAGAAAGATCTTTCTCTTCAAGAAAGATCTTTCTTGATCCAAACTCAAGAAAGAGTTGGGATCAAAGCATCAAAGCACGTCAGATGTACGTCCCAGTCATCTTGTAACAGTCACTACCACCCAGAGCTCCTGAACCCTATGCATCAGTCTTCCTTTTTTTAACTTCCACCATTTATTGCTTTGTTTTCCCTTTACTGGTTTTCTCTTCTTGATTTCCACAGGCATTCTAGAGACTACCATCCAATGCCATCCTCATATCAACTTTCAGCCTCCCATGTCTTTCAGATTGCATCTTGTGCACACAGTAGTCGACACAGGTCTTATACATCTCCCTGCTCCTCCCTCTTGCAATGTGTTCAAAAAAATCCATGTCCATTCTTTATGCAAAATCTACTAGTATCTGCACATCTCTCCTTAACACCATACCAACACCTCCCCATCACCTCTGTTCCTTCCATCTACATATGTGTTGAAGTCAGCTTCATTCAGCACTCTTCCCCCTGGGAACACTCTCTACCACTTTTAAAACGAGTCACAACTGTAAACAGCTATTCACAATAATAACTGTACGCTCTGTTGTCTCTCAGAGCCTTTTAAGCTGACGCTGTCAGCTCTGGGGCTCTCCTTATAAGTTCAAAGGGGCAGGCCGAGTGTGACGTAGCGGGGTCAAAGGTAATTTTGTACGTCGGCGTGGTGGTTTGGCGCCAGCAAATTTCGCGGGGTAACGGCACAAGACATAGAAAAGGAGGCTGAAATAGGAGCCATTAAAAGCTGCACTTCACAGAAAACAATCCAGACAGTGAAGCGTGGTGGCCGCTGAAGTGAAGCTTATTTGCTGCCGTCGGCGCTGTGTATGTGTCCCTTCTCATAACTCCGACCTAGGTGAGCAGTGAGTGTCAGCAGCGGGGACGTGCTGTGTGTGTTGGCTGAAACAAACAAGCAAGTGTAAACAGTCGTTTGGTTAGCCATGCAGGTTTGTGTTCTTGTTAGTGAGGCTAAATAAGGGCAGATGAGCAGGGACGTTTTAGCCGCAGCGTCGTCTGCCTGTGTGTACGCCGGCGCGAAGGCAACTTTGCTAGCCGGAGACTCGACGTTTAGCCTGCTAGTGCTGCTAATTTGTTAAAGCTAGTTAGCAGGCTGCTAATTGTTCAGTCACGATTCAGAAAATGCGTCCAGAGGTTTTGATGTGTCATTTCAAAATAGTTGCTCTATTTGTGTAGAACCCAGCAATGGCATTAGTAGCGAGACACTGACAGACTGATTTGGGAGGCGTTTACATCGCCAGCTAAAACGAACATGTGTCGCAAGCCTGTATTTGAAGCCCATTCTTCACTGTGTTACAGCTGTATCTACAGTGGCGGGTGATCGCAGCTTCACCTACTTCTCACTGAGGTACGTAAATGCATCTTTTTACTTGTGTGATTATTTTGCAATGTGACAGTTCTGGGGTAGAAGCCCGCTGTTATAAACAGCTAGCTTATGCAGTGTGAAATAGTCAGACAAGGAAATTGCCCCCCCTTCAACCCCCCAGCACACATATAGACACACACAAACTAAATTCAAGTGGAAATCATCACTAGTACTAACGATGGAAAATTAGATAATTGGGATAAAAAAATATGTCAGAATATCAGTGATGCAAATATATGGTATTGACAAATATCTCCAGATATGGCGTCTGCCAGTGCTGTGTCACAACTGTGCCAGTTACAAATTTAACTTTGTATAATATTTATTAACACATCCAAACCCAATATCTGAATGAATGAGAGATGTGTTTACAGATGTGTTAGTAAAGAAACAGGAATTAAATGTGCGTTCTGAACAGAAATGTTTATTTTATGTATTTGTGTGTAGTTTTAAAAATTAAAAAACAAAAGCTAAAAACTAATCTCCATATAGCTGGAGGGCAAACGCAGTGTGTACGTACCCTCAGGTGGTAAATGAGAAACGTGGTTGAAGAGAGACACAGTGGACTGGATGTTGCTGTGGTTTAAAGACAGTGAATTTGATAAACTCCAGAGTCAAACAGAACAACAGACGTTTGGTTTAAATTAACTGCACTTTTGGGATTTTATTACAACTGTGAGTCTGATTTCTTCTTTTTCCGTTGAATTCTGACTTGAGCTGCCACTAGGCTGCACTTTTCAAGAAGATTCTGATCTAGGGTGCATAAACTCTGGACAGTCTATTACAGGGCAGTTCTATAAAAGTTTATTTTTATCCATTTTCCTCATGTTTTGCCTCCTTTTCTGCTCCTCCTCTTTAAGGGCGAGAAGGTGAGTAATAATGATGGCGACGGCAGGGCCTCTGAGCAACTCCAGCTTCCTCCCTCTCCTCGAGTCTCTGGAGGACAGCACTGCTGGACAGTCAGAGCAGACAGATGCCTACCTCACCATCGCCAAGTAAGTTACGAGCCCCAGTATGTCAGACTTTGACGTAAGTTAGGACTAGACCACAAGTGACAGAATATTCTATTGTTGCTGTACAGTCGGCTCAGTGGAGAGGAGGGGCGCCAGTTCCTCCCTGCAGTTGAAAAGCACTTTTCTCGTTTGGGTAAAGCCATCTTGGTGAGTCTTCTGTGCGCAAAATTGTCGGAAACTTACATTTTCCATGCTTATATTTAAATTTTAAGCCTTATTTTCTTATGCCACTTCCAGGCTCACATAACTAGTCCAAATGCTGAGCTGAGCCAAGCTGCCTTACAAGCCTTGGGGTTTTGCGTATACCATTCTCATGTTGTCTCTGGAGTGTCAGGTAACTTCATGTGTACATCAGACAGCATTTGTCTTGCACCGAGAAATGTTTTTCCTTCTTGTACATATGACCGTAAATGCTTTGAACCTTGACATCATCACTGCAGATCTGACTTGGCCAGATGGAACTGTTATTTTTGTTTGTTTTTTGCAGAAGTCTTTGCAGCGGAAATACTGTCAGCACTTTGCTTGCTGGTGTCGAAGGCGACTGATAAGAACACTTGCACCAGGGCATTGTGGGTGATTTCCAAACAGAGCTTTCCTGCAGAAGAAGTCTCTAAAAAAGTGAGCAGCACCTGAACCTTATGTGCTACAATTTCAGAAAGCATCATGGTGTACTGAAAATGTTGTCAGGTCAACACTGCTGAAAACGTAGCAGTGATTTCAGGAGCAGAGGCATTTCCAAAGCTGCTGTATTGATCCGTGTTGCTTCTTCTACACTCAGGTGCCGTCCATACTGGGAACACTGGAGAGCGTGTGGAAAAGGGAAGACATCCACTCTGTGGTAATGGAGCATGAAGCCTTGAATGTCATAATCAGGTAAGATTTATTTGAAGCCAGACTTCTGGATAACCAGAGTATTTTATTCTGCCCTGTTTTCCTTTAATCATGCTCTGTGGGACATTCTCACTTTGGGTCGAGGGAAATGTCACACAAAATGGAATATTAACACTCCCTGCAGCTTTCTACAATAAGTAATTTTACATGATGATGAGAAATGCATTACATATTTTATTTGAAACCCCCAGCATTGCTTTTTAGTCTGGATAAATAGAAGTTGCCAATGTCCTTTCTTTAGTTGTCACACCTCTTTCATGTTAGCCTCTGGTGGAAGAAAACACATCTGCTTTTAGTGCTATTGCTTAGTGTAATATGAGTTAGAATACTGAGCGTCTGTTTGTGAACAGATGTTGGGCAGGTAACTTGTGCATTTTGTTCCCCTGCTGTGCATGTCAGGGGCCTTTGGCATAGACCAAGAAACATTCTTTCTAATGGCCAGCAGAGGGCAAAAAGTCCAGCTGTGTAGAAGTGTGACAAAACAGTCATTATGAACACTTTATGGATTCAGTTGCTAGTTTGAATTCCTTATATGAATACACATACTTAGTCAATAAAGCTCATTCTGATTATTGATTACAACATGAAGGCAATTTTGGAACTTGTGGTCTTCATTATGGCCAGAAGGCCAGAAAAAGAGGAGTATAGCTAAGGTTGTTACTGCCATATGAGCAGTGTTCCTCACTTAGTCAGAGCTACCCCTCACTCTTCACATCCAGTTTCAAAACGCTAATATGGCATTGGCCACACAAAGAAGCTTCACAGTGGGACTCTGTGGACCAGAGCTCTGACTGCAGCTGATCGGCTCTCGCTGAAGTGCTTCACAAACCTTCAGCCAACTCCAGCAGGGAGAGAAATTACACATTTTGGATAATGAATGTTCCCCCAAGTCCGATGTTACAGCAGTGGTGGTACTCTCATTGGTGCAGCTTTCATTTCAGATCTAAAATTCTAGATTGTGTCATTCCAGATTTTATTGGTCAGCTTGTCTTGTTTGAAAGTGTGGCCTCTTTTGTGTCATAAGTACTGCACATGGATAGCTAAAATATTTATATTGGAAAATGAGATGGGGCTCTCTTTCCTTGGTGTTTATAGGATGCTGGAGCAGGTGCCTACCCAGATGGGCGAAGGAGCAGTACAGTGGGCAAAGCTGGTAATCCCTCTGGTGGTCCACTCTGCATCAAAGGTGCGTCTGCGGGCCGCCACAGCCATGGAGATGGGCATGCCCCTTCTACTGGAAAAGCAGAATGAGGTGTCTGCTGTTATTGAAACAATGATGTCCACAGTGAGTAGTCTAACGTCTCTATGGAGTTTGATGCTTGGTGTTGCTTGTGAAAAGGGAATTGTAATAATCTCTGCTCAACTGTCTTTGTGTCTTCATAGAAACTGATACCAGAACTGCAGAAACTTTTCATGTCCAAGAACGAAACCAATGTCCTGAAGCTGTGGCCTTTGTTTGTGAAACTGCTTGGGAAGGTAAAGTCTGTATATTTGGTCTCCGATATTTAAATAAATGAGTGTAACTTAGTAGTCATTGCGTCCAGAAATTCTGAGAAAGGCCTGTTGGGTTTGCTTAAAACTTTGGAATTCCTTGTTCTTTTTGAATGATAAGAATGGCCTGATCAGCCAGGTTAACTGTGTCTCCTGCTCAGCTGCTGCACAGAGGAGGTCCCTTCATCAACTCTCTCCTGCACCTGGAGGAGCTTGGTTTCCGCAGCTCGTCTCCTACCATTAAGAAGATCGCCTTTCTTGCCTGGAAGAGCCTCATTGATAACTTTGCTCTGAATCCAGGTGAGCCCCATTACACTCATCCTGTCTTTAATAGGAAGTTCAGTGGTCAAACTGAAATCTTAAACCTATACCCTTGGTGCTCCCGAAGACATCTTGTGCAGTGCCAAACGTATGAAGCTCCTGATGCAGCCGCTCACATCCATCAATGTCAGAACGGAAGCCCTGCTGCTCACCAAGGTGGAGGTGTGGTGGTACCTGGTGATCCAACTGGGGCCCAACCTGTCACCCAACTTTGACCAGGTTAGATTCCCGGTTTGTTTTTTCTAAAAACAAAAAACAAAACAAAGATTATTTTATAGAATTAATTTTCTTCCTTGCAGTTCTGCTTCTGTGGCAGAGTGGACTGGCTGCAGCGCCACACACTTGTCACACTGATTTGCTCTGTTCACAGTAAACTTGGTCATACATTATCCCTAATTCTCTGACTTTGTGCGACTTTTAGTGTGTGATTGCAGTCACTGGTGAAGCTATAGGGTAGTTTTTCTCAGTAATTAGTCATGTTTAAAAGGTACTGCAGACTTAAGCTAATTGACACTGCGGTAATAACTAGAGATCTGTTATAAGTGATTTTAAAGTGTTTAAGTGTGGGACAATTACAGTAAACAGTCAGACATCCTGCACTGTGCTTATTTATTTATTTATTTAAATGCACCTTATTCCACATTCTTTTATCAGTTTAACTTTGACCAGTCTAAGATGAGCTAACCTTCAGTAGTACCACAGTTGGGAACTTAGCCCTCTTTCAGCAGTAGATACTAGTCCTACTTTAATACTTCATATGCATCATAGCTGTATAATAGTGTAATCAACTCTTTGGGTTACATGAGTCAATATTTAGACATCTTGGTAACAGAGTTTACTTCAACAGTGAACAGTCACGGAGGTCCTTTTTAATAATTTTATGTAACAGTACTGCATTCTTCTTACTTCTTAATTCATGCAGACACAACTTTATTTCCATCTACACAGAGTTTACTAGCTTGTCAGTTTTTCCTAACGTGTGATGAAGTGTGAAACTCTGGTGTGAGTGAAGTGTTTCTGTGTCTTTCAGGTTTCTGTACCTCTGCTCCAGTGCACAATCGGCTCCGACTCTTCCTCTTCTATACCAGGCACTCCTTCCAGAACTATCGCTCAAAATAGCGCTGCTGCTCCTGGTACACCCAAGACTGGTACGGTTACTCCTCCACATGTAATGCACTAATCCAGCTTACACAGACACTGATGTAGTGTTTGTTTCGGTCTGCAGCAAGTGCTCCAGGCTTCAACAGCCCAGCCAACACATCTCGGATGAGCCTGAACTCCAGCATCCAGCTCGCCTCCTCGATACCGTCGATTCAGCTGCTCGGACTAGAGATGCTGCTGCACTATTTTCGAGGTCCAGAGGTTGTTGCGACTGCAGCAAAACACAAACTCATCCTGAGTCTCGGTGGGTCAGAGTCACATGTTTTCTGCATTAGCCTGCTTTATAGTTGTTCCTTCAGGCTCCACACAAGGAGGTGCAGAGATAAACCCACTGTTTCTAAAGAATATGCCTTTTAAATTTCAAATACTTTTTCTGTTTCATTTTCTCCATTGCTCTGTCCAGTTCCATTTTGGTCTTTTTTTCTGGCAATGGGACCACAGGGAAGAGAAAGTATTTTACTGTAGATGCGGAAATGTCCCAGAAATGCTCATGTTTCTGCAAATTTGTCTCCAAGTGCAAATTTAAAAAAACCATTCACAGGAACACAGACAAGAAGATCACATCCAGTTTGGTGTTTTAAAGAAGTACTTGAGTTTAGTGTGTCTCCTCTATACCTTTTATTGTTTTTCTTTGTAGAGCCCCTGAACCACCCGCTCCTCTCTGGTGCTTCCTCCTTTACTAAACATGCTGCTGTGCTCATCTCGAATACCAGAGATGGCTTCATCAACATCGGAAAAGATGCTCCAGGTAAACCTCACAGAAACATCCACCGACTGACATTCACCTCGACTTTGATTTGGAGATGAATTTTCAAAACTAAATATATTTGAATGCATTAGAAGAAAAATGGCATTTTGTCACCAGTGCTTATTCACACTGGTCCAAACAAAGCCATTGCTGCTTTCAGGCGTGATGCGGAAGTGATGCATCATTTTGGCTGTAAAAATTGAGCCTCGCCACTTGTAAATGAGTCAGAGGGCTTTTTTCCCCTTAATGTTGTCACTGGGAATCTTGATGTTAATGAGGAAATCTTTTTAAGATGAGGAGTTGGAGAAAGGAAGTAGTGTTAGGGCGACAGACTGCTAATCATGTAGGTCTGTGATAAGAGGTCTAAAAGTTCTTTGTCACAGACTGTTGAAGGATTTGTTGGAAAATAGGGTGACTGATTACTTAAACCTGAAACCTGCTCTCCTAAGTCCATATAAACATAAGCTTATAAGCTCTTTTCTCCTGCAGAATCTCTTCTGACCCTCATATGGACAAGTCTTGTCCGGTTTGTTTCCCTGACCATAGAGTCCGGTAAGTAGTGAAGGTACCTGATTGATTTGACAGTGGAGCTAACTGGTTTGTGTGTAATGTTTATGGTGGGATAATCTAAAATGTTTAATTCGTTTGCATGTATTTATTTGTCTCGTTAACAAATGTAAGTTAGATTTTTGATAAAGAAGTAACAAAGCATGGAGAAAGCTGCGGGAGCCTTTATGCACACAGACTTTAGTAATCATTCATCTTTGCTGGCAAAACTGTGGCAGTGATTATCTGCAGAGAAACAGAAATGTCAGCAGTTTCCACTGCTCTTTGTTTTTGTTGTAGTTAAATAACTAATCATGGGTAAAATTTCTAGTTGTGTTGTGGCTGCTGCTCAGCAGGGTGGGCTCTTAAAGTCATGGGTCTGACCTCAAAGCGCCACATAGAGCACTCAGATTGGGTCTGAGCTTTGTTCCATGGGAGGACGAGCGAGACCTCACTGTCCTCTTCTGCCTGACCCTGTCACATCTCATCATCAGTTTAAGTTGGAGCGTTCAGGTCTTCAGTCTGGACTGCTGTGACAAGACTACAATTCTGAGGGGATCTGTCCCCAATGATGACTCATCTCAAGCAGAGCCTGAAAAGACGACAATATTGATGTTGGACTCGCTGCTGAATAATACTTGTGCTCTGTCGTTAGGCAATAAGAAGGAGCGACAGGGAAGCGAAGTACTGACACTGATGCTTCAAGCTCTGCAGAGTATCATCACCTCAGAATCTCTGCCTGCAGACAGAGTCCTGGTAAGGTTATGCAGAAAGCTTTAAGACTGACTCACTTACTGAAAATTTAACTAGAATTAGTCTGTTCATAAGAAACGCAGAGCTTTACAGACTGTCACTTATAGAAATGATTTGAGAAGCAGCACCAAAGGATAGGTTTTTATGTCAGATTGTATCATTCCTTGAGTTGTTTCTGATATTGTTAGCGTTTTACCTGTTTTAATGAATCAGAATACTTTATTAATCCCGAAGTACATTATAGGTTACAGCAGGCAGCACGCTAATGGCGCATGCGCACTTACAAAGGAATCTTCTGACCAAACTTTACACAAACATCACATTGGGAAGTCATGTCAGAAAGGTAGGCTGATAGGAAAAAACAACGAAAATACATAACATGAGGTGAGAGGAGGAGAAAAAAAAACTCCACTCAGATTGAGCTCCTAATGGGAGAACAGTTTGAGAACAGAACAAAAAACGCCCCAGCACAAAAAGCACATGACTATCAATACACCATAGAAACACAAGACAAGTAACAGGGGCGGGTAAGGGTGAGAGAGAGCCGGTGTAGACAGCGCATCCGGTCCTGCAGCATGTCTGCGCTGGACATCTGCCCCGGGAGGGGACAAGCATCGAAGGTGTTTGGAAAGGGAGGGGGGATGAGTGTGTGTGTGAGTGTGTGTGTGTCCAGAGTTCAGCTGAGACGGTGTCCTTCGCCCTGCCAGGCTAAGTAAACAGTCTTCCAGCCAACCCAGGTGGCCTTGCGTAGGATAGGAAGAAACAGTCTATGCACAGTCTGTTATCAGGGTGTTTTTGTTCGGCTACAGCCTTGAGACCACAGCTGGCTTCTCCAAGATGTTATCCAATTTTCGCTCAGCGGTCTTATTCTGAGTGTTCACGGTAGCCTCAAGCATCTCCAAGATCTTATCCGTGCTGCGTTCGATGAGCCCATTTTGAGAACTCACGACTTGTCCCATCGTTTCAATCACAGTGGGCAGCCTTGTGGGGTTTTGAACAGCTGATTCAGTTTTCTTTAATCTTCGATAAGCCAGGGCCAAGCCAGCTCCAATCAGCAAGAACCCTGTTATCATGGTTCCAAACAGGTACATGTCTTCGATAGACAGTCCCACCAGGCACTGGGCTGCTTCTTGAGGTGTTGGGTCTGATTCAGTGCTCAAAGTTGTTACTGCACTGACTGTTTTTGTTTTTCTTCTTAACCTTAGGTTCTGTTTGAAGCCACAGTGAAAGGAATTCCTCAGAGAGTTCTCAGTTCTGCATCTTATCAAGTGGGCAAGATGGACGTGCTAAATGTGAGTGCTTCATGGTTCAACGATTAGCATAGCTCCATGGAAGTGCTTACACAGAATGTTGCTTAAATGTTGTTTAACTCCTCAGGGAACACCTGCTCTCTTCCTCATCCTCCTCCTCTACGACAGCAGCATGCTTCCAGCCTACGTTGAGGATGAGAGGTGGGTCTACTACTTAGTTTGATTCTCATTCCACAGGAACACAATAAAAGATACTGGTAACATCTTGTGCATTACTTCCAGTAATTTTACTGAAAACTGTATAAACTGGGGGGGGGGACAAGATAGTTGGTCACTTAGTCAAGACCTGCTACAAATGGTAAATGAACTGGTTCTTGCATAGTGCTTTTCTACTCTTCCTGAGGACCATACATACAAGCACTTTCTATGATTAAGTGCCTTCTATCTACCACGAGAGCTGAAACGGCTCACCTGGCTCCTTTCAGTGTTGAGGAGAAGAGGCTCTACTTTAAGTCTTGAGTCCCAGCCAACATTCGATGGAAGGGAAAAAAAAATAAATTCCTCCTCTTGAATCTGAGACCTCCATTCTTTTGCTCACCACTCAGAACTCGGGACCACAGGTGAGGGTAGGAACGTATTAGACTTCTAAATTGACTGGGGCGGCATCCGCATCACTGCTCCAGTCCGTCAATCTCACACTCCATTCTCACCTCACTGGTATACTTAAAACCGCTCCACCTGGGGTAGTTACTAATCCCTGACTCAGAGTAGGCACGTCACCCTTTTCTGGTTTCAGCCTCGGGAGGCCCAACAGTCACTACAAACAAGTCCGACTTACTGGTGGCAATACAACACAAGCTCTCGCTATGGTTGAACAGGGATCTAATTACCATAATGGGCCAGACACCCCATACTCCTGAAGCACCCTCCACAATGTCCCATTGGATGCTCCTTTCCTGCTGTGTCCTCCTGTGGAGGCATCAGTACAAGTAATTATAACCACCTAAATTCAAATGAAGTGTACAATAATTTTTCAGCCTGTCAGCCACTTCCTCTATCTGCCGGTGGTACTTACCGTGCAGGCGCTTGTCCTTCCATGATGGTTCCTCCTCTTTCTTCAGTTTATGCTGCCTGAGTTATTCACTGAACGTGCAGCTGGTTGTGGCCATCTTCCTGATGTATTCGTGGCTGTTCATCGTCTCATCCTGGACCGTGGTACTGGCACTCACTAGTCCCTGGCCTCCTTCCTTCTGCTAAGCATACAGCCTCAGGGTGCTGGACTTGGGGGTGAAACCCTCCTTGCATGGTAAAGAGCTTCCTTGTCTTGATGTCAGTGGGTTCGATTTCCTCCTTTGGCCAGGTTATTATCCAAGCAGGGGATCACAGGGCAGGGCGTAGGTGTTGATAGCCTGGATCTTGCCTAGGGACCCTTACTGGATACAGACCCCACCCCGATATCCAGTTGCTTATATATTAGATATCTATGTATGCACACACTCTCATCTTCTTTGCTTAATGCATTGCCTCCTGAATCTGTCTGCAGGTTTTATCACTGCCTTCAAACGCTGGTCAACTGTGGACTGTCAGGTCCAACCTCCCCTCTAGCATTTGCAGAATCGCTGTTGGGTGCCATCAGCCGCAGTGCCACGTCTCTGCAGAACAAGGAGCAGCTGCTGAGAATGTGGAGCGTGGTCGTCAGCTCCCTCACTGACATCGTCACACAAGTAGGAGCGGGATTATTGACAATCACTGCTGTTGTTTAATAGGAACATTTAAAAAATCTTTGTTTCACTTTGTCTGCAACAAGTCAACTTTGAGAAGACAATAGTTTTACCTGTCTGAATGTTGAAGTTTTAGTGCAGAGTTTAGAGGCTTGTTTGATCGGCAGAGGGGTTCTAAGCAACACAGCCTGCTTTATAAAGTGGAACACAGGCACCGCGTGTTACTTTTTTTTTGAGGACTGGAGCCAGCACTGTTTAGATAAATGTAGGGGATAAACTAGATGGGGCCAAGGATAAACTCTGACACTAATGATACTGATACAACTGCCAAAAGCATGTTTAAAAATGATTACTTTTGATAGGGTCAAGGTTATTTAGTATCCTTTCATAATATCATGACAGTGTTAGTTTTTCTACCTGTGTCTGTGTGGTTTCTTCCAGCTTCCTCCCACAGTCCAAAGACATAGACAGAAAAACGCAACATAATTCTCCAAAGCTGGAAGCAACTTTAGGGTTTGCACTGCAATGGTGGAAACCCTGAGTATGAAGAACAAAGCCTTGCTTGGTGGCCCACTTATTAATATATGGATGTAGAAAAATGCAAGTTTAAGACCAAATAAGTTTAGAATATACACCGCGTTCCAAATTATTATGCCAATTGTGTTTAAGTGTCATAAAGGTTAAATAAGTTGTTTTTCAATTAAACCCATGGATGAAATTGTGTCTCAGGGCTCTTTGGATGACTAAACTCAATCTTGGACACCTGTGATCATTAGTTTGCCAGGTGAGCCCAATTAAAGGAAAAACTACTGAAGAAGGATGTTCCACATTATTAAGCAGACCACCATTTTCAAGCAATATAGGAAGGAAAAATGATCTCTCTGCTGCTGAAAAGCGTGAAATAGTTGAATGCCTTGGACACATAATGAAAACCTCAGATATTTCACGAAAACTTAAGCATGATCACCATAATGTAAGAAATTTGTGGCTGAGTCAGAGCACAAATGGGTTCGTGCAGATAAAGGCACAATGATGAAGGTTTCTGCCAGACAAATGCATCAGACTAAGAGAGCAGCTGCTAACAAAGCAGCAAACACATATTTGAAGCTGCTGGTGCCTCTGGAGCCCTACGAACATCAAGGTGTAGGATCCTCCAGAGACTTGCAGTTGTGCATAAACCTTATATTTGGCCACCCCTAACCAATGCTCACAAGCAGAAACGGCTGCAGTGGGCCCAGAAGACTAATTTTCAAACAGTCCTGTTCACTGATGAGTGCAATGCAACCCTGGATGGTCCAGATGGATGCAGTGGTGGATGGTGGACAGCCACCATGTCTCAACAGGGCTGCAACGTCAGCAAGGACGTGGTGGAGTCATGTTTTGAGCTGGAATCACGGGGAGAGAGCTCGTTGGCCTCTTTTGGGTCCCTGAAGGTGTGAAAATGACCTCTGCAAAGTATGTGGAGTTTCTGACTGACCACTTTCTTCCATGGTAGAAAGAGAAGAACTGTGCCTTCTGCAACAAAACCATCTTCATGCAAGACAATGCACCATCTTATGCTACAGCGAACACCTCTGCATCATTGGCTGCTATCGGCATAAAAGGAGAGAAACTCATGGTGTGGTCCCCATTCCTCCCTGACCTCAATCCTATTGAGAACCTTTGGAGCATCCTCAAACCAAAAAATAAGAGGGTGGGAGGCAGTTCACATCCAAACAGTAGCTCTGGGAGGCTATTCTGACATCCTGCAAAGACATTCAAGAAGAAACTTTCCAAAAACTCACAAGTTCCATGGATGCAAGAATTGTAAAAGTGCTATCAAATAAGGGGTCCTATGTTAATATGTAGCTTTGACCTGTTAAGATGTTTTTGATTTCAGTAAAATTGATCTAATGCTGCAAATTCAACAAATGACCATTTTCAATTCTCTACTATCTATAAAATGTTTTGAAACTCTGTGCGTAATAATTTGGAACAGTGCATTTTGAGTTTATTATTTTTGAAAAACACTTTTTCATTGGCAGTTTTGTTGAGTAACATTTGAGTTGTACTCTAATGGTTGATGACTAAAATTATGCTGACTGTCATTTGAATCGACTATTCAGAGAAAAAAAAAATCAGAGAAAAACATCATTTGCATAAAAATTTGGAACGCAGTGTAAAGTTTTTTTTTTTTGTTTTTTTTTTTTTGTACCTTAACGTCCTGTTAAAGTCTTATTTAACAAATGTAGCACCAGCGTTTAACTTCCTTTGACTCTTTTATTTTGACAGACTAATGAAGTGAACCAAGGTGACGCTCTGGAGCACAACTTCAGTGCTATGCACTCTGCCCTGATGCTCCCCATTACACATCTCTTACACAGCACACCACTGCCACAGGTCTGGTGCAAATGGAACAACCATAAAGAAATAACAAAGTCATGCTTTCCATTCAGTCCGCTTCAATGACCTCATTCTCATTCCTTTAATTTCTTCAGCTGGCTCAGAAGTCGATGCTTTCTTCATGGTCCAAGCTCTACAAAGTATTTGCTTGCTGCTCTGCATTGGTGGTCACAGCTGAGGAGAACATCTGCTGCGAGGAGCTCTGTGCAAAGATGGATGCTGCAATAGACAGAGAAGCCCTAAGGGTGAGTACATGGTGACGTATAAACAGCTTTACATAGAAGCTTTCCAGCCGAGTATAACAAGCTCAAACCTAATAAACATGACTTTATTTCATGTTCCATAACAAATATGGACAAAAAATAAACCTTTTCAGAGATGTGAATATTTGGAAAATAAGCTGATTCATCAATCTGTCATGATTTAAAAAAAATTCCACAGAGGTAAGAATATTGCTTGCAGCCTTTAGAAGAACTCTAATCTGACTCTGATCCTTCAGGTTCCTTCGACGTGTAATGCTGTTGCCAGTATCCTCCATGTCATGGTCGAGTGTGTGGACTTCTCTCCGTACACGCCTCAGTTTCAGCAGAAGCTTAAGTGTAAGAACTGAAACGAGCTTTACTTCATCTTTTATACAAATTACACACATGCACTTAGTTTCTAAACCTGTCATTTCTTCCAGCCCCCCATACTCCTGTGAATTGGATGCGAAAGAGGAATAAAGCCCTGGGCAACCTGTCTATGTTCCAGTCCCTGCTGGTACAGTGTTTAGAGGTTTATCTGGAGGACCCTGAGACTTCCTCTGAGGCAGTAGGCTCGGCCCTGCTGTCCGTCCTTTCTGCTCTCTTCACAAACCTCGTTCTGGCAAATGTTGTCCAGGAGGCTCTGAACTCTCTGATTCATCCCCTCACTCTCCTTTATAAAAATGCAGCCAGTGAGCCATCCAAGTTCACCTCACAGCTTCTGGGAAAGGTGGGCTCCTCATCAGCTGACCAAGTAGGTTTTTAGCATTTGTCATTTTAGGGTTTAGTTTTAATGTCTGTCCTTTTCTCTTCCCTTCCTACAGTTGGAGAAGCTTCTTGGTGAGGTTTTCAACTGCTTGCAAAGCCGTTCCTCTCTGGCCCACAATGATGAACTCCTGGCTTTGCTCTCTCCTCTGCTTTGTGTGGTGTTTCCGCACAAGAACAAGCACCTCCGCACCTCAGTCACCCAGTTCTGGAACTCCACCTTTGCCAATGCAGTCAGCCTCACGTATCCTGATGAGATGAGGTGATTGTCTTCATTAATTTTTTTTTAATGAGTTCACAATTTTTATTGCATTTAAAAACTACTACTGTGGAAAAAGTACTCCTACAGAGGCTCCTAGTCCCTGCAGGGGCATTCCTATGGCTTTAAGACTCTAATGTCACTAATATTATCCTAATATTTTTTAAAATAAACACAGGCCAGTACTGAGCCAGGTGAAACAGAAGACCCCCATCATTCTTCCTGGCTTCGAGGTCGTCAGCTATCCCGATGAGCTCAGTGGACAATATTCAGTGAGTTGCCCTAGTTATCTTTGTTTTTCACTTTTGTGATTTCAGCTTTATTCAGCACTTTCTCTCTGTCTCTGTGTTCAGAGTGAGAATTCTCAGTTGGAGACAAAGCTCAGCGGGATGCCGGTTTCATCTGTGGGGAAGAGGGACTCGCTGCTGGGAAAGACTGCTGAGCTGAAGGAGAAGAGCTCAATGAAGACTAACAAGCCAGTTTCTGTAATTTTAGAATCAAACTTGATAATTTCCTGAGGGACATGTTGGATGAAATAAACACATTGGGGGGGAGGAAAAAAAAGACACAATTAACCAGCCAGCTTATCCATATTGATTTGTTTAGATACTCATATTAAAAACACAACATCAATTAGACATGTTATAATTAATAATCCCTTATTGTCGCCCTTAATTGCAAAACTGATTTCATCTGTTTCCCTTCAGACAAAACTGGACTTTGGTTCACCCAAGCCACCCCGCAGGGAGGTCTTGGAAGAAGAGGCATCCATCGACTTTGTGTTCATTCCTCCTGAGGCGAAGGAGAGAGTTCTGACAGAGCATCAGAAAGAGGTGAAAAGGACTAAAAGGTCAGGTTTGCCCTCTTCAGCCTGTTTTCATTTGCTCATTTGGATTTCACATGATTGTTTATGTAAAGCAAATGCTTTTTGTTAAAGAGTTGACATTCCTGCCATGTACAACAACCTTGATGCCTCTCTGGATACCACGGCCTTCACACAGTACACGCAGAGTCAAGAAGACTCTTTGTAAGTTCTCATAATCACAATAAATCCCTGCAATAAAACATATTCAGAATTAACAGAGAATTTATTTATATCTTCCTCCACAGGGACAAATTGCCAACTGAACAAGTCGATGTTGTAAACAAAAAGACTACTGACAAGGTAACAAAACGCACAACTCCACTTTTAGTTGACTACATAAGCTAACAGCAATGAGTACATACAGAGATAACATAGACATTGTTTTGTTCTTTTCTATAGGCACCAAGCAGCTCAACATTGAAACCAAACTGTGCAATTGCCAAATGAACACTATATAGATATATTGATCAGTTAGTTCTGGTGTCATCTGTAGAGAGAGTTGATAACTTTTATATTTTTGTTTCTTTTACCTTCCTCAGATGGACACTGAAAAAGAAGATGCTGAAATTCAAACGAAAGAGACGCAAGACTATGCCAGCCCAACAGATGCAGAGAAGTTGACAGAAAATGGCAAGCAGCAAGAGACTATCCCAGAGTGTGCAGATGTTTCGATGGAGGAGCATGCAAAGAGTGACGATAGGGGTGAAGATGTAGACAAAGAGTCTAAAGAAGGCACAAGCCCTAACATCTCTCCCTCATCCGATTTGGTTTCAGGGACTCCCCAGAAACCCAACAGTCGTCGTCAGTCTTTCATTACTCTGGAGAAGTATGTTGAGGGAAAACCCGCCAGCCCCAGCACTGCGTCCTCATTTACAGGCCCTCTTTTAAAGATATCCAATAGCCAAGAACCCTCTAAAACCAGCAAGACATCAGCCTCTCGGGACTCATCTCCTGTCACTTGTCCAAACTCTCAGGATTCCCAATCCATTCAGACAGGAAAATCTAGCTCTCAGTGCTCAGTTAACAATGCCGACGAGTCCCCTCGAAGACCCAAAGACTGTAGAACAAAAACTGAGCCCGTAAAGCTGACTGAGAGACTGTCTAGTGACTCAATGGAGGATGAAAATGTCATCCCAGATACACAGACTGAAATGGAGAGCACAAAAAGACCTTCTATTTCACAGGATATAATTCCCTCAAGTCAGGAAGAGGAATCTCAATCAGCTCTGGAGGATTCTCAGTCATCTCCAAGTCAGACATCTCCCAGTGAACCCAGACGATCTGGACGCCAGAGAGTCAGACCTCAGCTCCCTGGAGAGGACCCTGAGGAACGGGAAGCCAAATACTCACATGTCAAAAAGAGACGTTCTGGAGAAGAGCCTATCAGTGATTCTCCAAAGTCTCTGATGCAGAGCAGACCAAACACAAGAAGTAAGCAAGCTGCAGAGGATACCGGTAGAGAAGGATTGCGCTCAAGAGCTCAGAGGGACTCGGGTGAGTCGAGCCAAACCAATTCTCAGGGTAGAGCTCGCAAGAAGATCAAACTGAACACCAGTTCACAGGAGTTACTTGATAAACCTGGACGTAAAAGGAGAAGCACCAATGAGTCCAGCCAAACTGATTTAAGATCAGACAAGCAGTCGAATCATGAAAGCCAATCACAGGGTGGGCTTAGTCAACAGAGCAAAGCATTCAGTGATGAAGATGGATTGGAAAAAAACGTTTTGCCTGACACAAAGGAGTCTTGTCAAACTGCCACAGATGAGCAAGTAAACCACATTGAAAAAGACAAGGAGTCAGATACAGACTCCAAAGCAATCATTCTTTCTCCTCAAACTGGCGGTGAGTCCCAAAAGTCAGAAAACAATGGCGAGAAACCGAAGAACTCTGAAATGGTTATTTCTTCACCTCAAGTTAAAGGCCAGTCGCAGGAGTCTGAGCCTATTGGCGACGCCAAAAAGGATTCTCAAGTTGTCACTACTTCTCCAACTAATAAGTCCCAAGTTGGCTCAAGCACGACAAATATTTTAGGCAAAGAACTACTCAAGGATGAAGACAACGAACTAGAAAGTAGAGAAGACTCTCAAGTGATCACACCTTCATCTACTGATAGCCCCTCTAAACGTAGATCAAGAAGAAGTAAGGTATCATCTGAAGTGTCAGAATCTGAAGACAAAAATGACGATACAATTTCATCAGGAAGGCAAATGAGGTCTAATTCTCACATAACAAATTCTGTAGTCGGCCAGGCAGACGCTCGAATTGGAGGAAGGACTAGAAGGAGCAAGTTATTAGAGGAGCAACTAAAATCAAGTCCTAGCTCTACACCAGAGAGTTCTCAGTCATTAGATCTTTCCGGTTCAGAGTCCTCTCAAGGCAGGGGCAGATATTCCAGACGAAGGTCCTCTCCAGCGTTAATGGCAAGTATGGAGTCCTCAGAATCTGAATCCTCTGAGGTCAGAGAACACTCAGTCATTCCCAAAAAGAAAAGAGGGAGGCCCCGAGCATCACTTCAGAGACTTCTTGCAGTCGAATCGAAGGACACTATTGAGAAAGATATGGAAAAGTTTGACACCGATGCCTCTCAGGAGTTGGATAGTCAAATCACCGAAGCAAAAGATGTCACTGATTTGGAGGAATCAAAAACCCAAGATTCACCTAGTTCTGAGTTGATCCAGCATACAAATACAATTGAAGCTCAAAGTAAAGAAGAGTTGCCGATGGAAGTAGATGATGTTCTAGGTCCAGAACCTCAAGCTGATGACTCAAAGCAAAGGACTGTGCCAGCTAGTGAGACAGAGCAAAGAGACTCTGAAACAAATGGTGATGATTCCACCACACAAAATCACACAGGGGACTTGGAAATGATTGAATCTGTCGAAGTGTGTAATGAACAGACACTTGCACCTCCTAATGAGGCAACGCACAGTGTGCAAGTCAGGGAGTCACCAGAGGAGAAAGCTGATGAAGTGGTGACAGAAAAACAAATGTTGGATTTAAATTCAGGTCCCCGAGGACCTCCTGAGGAGAACACGGACACGCAAATGGAGAGTCTAAAAGTTACTGGTGACCTTTCTGAGGAGGAACAACATGCTGCTTCAATTCAGCATTCAGAGGCCAGTGCTGAGAAAGAGACCACACCACCACAGGAGAATGAAAAAGCTGGTCAAAGTGAGATTGTGGAGGATGAACAGAATACTGCCAGCACTGATGCTTTGACTGATGTTTGTAAGACTTCATTGCAATCAGAACCTACAAGTAAAGGCGATTTTCTTGATTCTCCAGTGAAACAGAAGGACCTGGAAACTGTAATGGCTCCAGATATTGGACATAGCCCCAGCAGTGGCAAGACCAGAGGTACCTGGTCTCCTTCTGCTTCACCCTCTACCAGTATTCTTAAGAAGGGCCAGAAGAGACCACTGGAAGTGGACACTCCTTCACCTCTTGTTAAAGTGAGTGATGAACACATTTTGGTAAAATGTATTTCAAATGAACATTGGCTTGAAATATTTGTAACTTTTTTTTTGTTGTCGACTTGTAGTCCAGGCGTGTGTCCTTTGCTAATCCAATCCAGCAGCAGGAAACTGCAGACGACATCGATCGTCGTAGCCCAGCCATCAGAACCAGCTCACCTAGAAGGTCAAGGGTTACTAATATTCCACAGCCAAAGGTATGTTTGAGCATCAGTGTTTGTAATTGCGATATTTTACAACCATGCAAACCCTGACTGTCTTCTGCTTCTTTTAGCATGTCACTACTCCAACAAAGGGCTTGGTGATACTGAATCCTAGAAATCTTCACAGCCCAGGTTACAAGAGCTCCAAGAAATGTCTGGTAAGCACACAAACGTGATATTTCTCACCAATAAGCTGCCACACACAAACAACATTTTAGCCCAGTGTGTTCTTTACTTCTAAAGCTTAGTTTCAGACTTCTGAAAAATACATGTGGCTTTTCTTTTGGATTAGATGGTGCCAGTTAGCTGCCCAGGTAGCATGCTGGCTGGTCAGGTACAAATATGAAAGAACTTTAATGTACCAATCAGATTTCTTCTTAGAGAAGTTCAGAAAGGAGTGCTGTTGCCATTGGAGATTATTAATACTCTGGTCTTTAATAGTTATTGATAACGCTGATCTCTCTTTAATGTCCCATCTCTCTCCCCTCATCCCCAACCAGACTCGGCAGATGTATTATTGTAGGGTCTTCACCTTCAAGCGACTGTTGGGATTTGGCACTGTATAAATTGAATTGAAAAATGTAGCCTCAAGCCCATTTAGTACAGCTGGATTTCAGTACCCGTCCTTAGTTTTGCAACTGGGGTGTATCTTGAATAGGGCTGCCACAAACGATTATTTTGATAGTCGACTAGTCACCGGTTGTTTTTGCGATTAGTCGATTAATCAGATCATGCATCCATTGGCCGTAAAACGTTCAGCTTATTGCACCAGCAGCATCTGCTCTTATATAACTATCATTAGCTTACAGCTTTAAGTGTTTAAGGTATGTGCTAACTAAAAATAAAAATGGATGATAGTTTATTAAACTTTTAATGAAATTTGCAGATTGTCTCAGTGGAACTTAATAAACTCAGCGGTCTGCTCCTTGCTATCTAAAATATAACAGGACACTGGAGTAAATTCGATGTGCTGGGAGTTTGGTGTTCTCGCCGGCTCTAGTGAGCCTTGAACCCCGGCTAGCTATTGAGCTGGTGGATAACAGATGTCTCAGAAAATGTCCGATCACTTTTGCAAATACGTGATGTCTTGATAAACCGAGAAGATATTTGAAGTTTACACAGCTACATTCTTGCCTGAAAATAGGTTAAAAGTTTATTTTGTGACCCAGAAAGAGTAATAGGAGTAATATTAAAACTACGTAGCTGCCGCTATTGTTGGAAACTGGAACTGGCTGAGCTGCGCTATGAATTCTGGGATAGGTTGGGCCACGAAGTATACACCCCACCCATCCTTCAAATCTGGGGAAAAGGAGGACGCATTTGGAGGAGTGTTCAAATTTTCATGGCCTTTGTCGCGTTGCTGTAACGTAATCGGCCTACAAATACAGTCTCTGAAGGATGTGGCCCCTGAATTTGGACACAGCTATGATACCGGACACAGCTTTTTCTTCTTCGGGGTTTAATGGCAGCTGGCATCCTTGTACATGCAGTGCTGCCATCTTCTGTTTCAGTCTGCTTTTACACTCTTAAATCCTACTACTTATTCCTGCGTCTTTCGGGATCTTACAAAGCTTCAAACGACGCGTTGACTTTTAAATTAGTCGTCAACGTAATTGCGACTAGTCGACTAATCGTGGCAGCCCTAATCTGGAATCCTGCATGAGGCTTCACTCATGTTTTTAGAATCATTTTTGTTGTTGTTTTCTTACCAGAAAGAGAAGGAATGACCCAAAAAACGCTGGCATAGGTCCAGAATTTCAGTCCCAGTAGCATTAACATGTTGATTATTCCAGCTTCACATAGGTATCAGACTTCATCCCAATGATACATAGAACCTTTTTTGTCAGATTTCTGAAATGGGCCAGGAACCTCGACCTGTCTCCAGAGACTGCATCTACCCTGCCCTGGTTGGCTGCTCTACACCTGTGGAAGCTGTGCTGCCTCAGATTTCCTCTAACATGTGGTGAGGACAGCATGGGGTTCACCAAAGGAAAATTTTGGTCAAATATTTATTCTCTGTTAATCTCTGACCAAAGTAACCAAGACTCATTTTACCTTCAATCTTCCTCATAGGTCTCGAGGTTTTGGGCAGCTTGTTCGTGCCCGAAACATTAAAACGATCGGTGACCTGAGTGCACTGACTCCCAGTGAAATCAAGACTCTGCCAATTCGCTCCCCGAAGATCTCTAATGTGAAAAAAGCACTCAAAATTTATGAACAACAGGTACCTCAGTAGGCTAACACCACCCAGCACAAACACTAACATTACTGCAGCTTTTCCACATGTGCCTGATGTCTCACTGTCATTTTCCAGCGTAAAGGACGGGGCGGGGATGAATTGAAGAGCTTTGATGAAACAGAGATGATGACTTCTGAACTGGAAGAGACAAGTGTCCCTCAAAACATAGAAGAGGATAAACCGTCAGGCGACACACTGGGTATGTAAAAATTGTGTATTACATCAGTGACAAGTTAATGTCCTGAGTGATGCCATGCAAATAATCTCTTGATCTCTTTAGAATTATGTAAACAGAATTCCCCTTTGTGTTTGTAGCAACAGAGCTGGTGGACGAGCCTGTTTGTGCAGATGAGAGACCTGAGCAGGACGCCTCTGGGAATCTGACACCAGAGGTGCCAGATGGAGATGAGACAATTGAATGCCAGCTACCCCGAGACAGTCTGTCATCAGAAATAGAGACACTGTCCTGCAGAATGACACCACAGGAACTGAGCGTCTGCTCACCACAGCAGCTTGTTGAGATGCACGATCAGTTGGGAGGCATGATGAGACGTGTCGTGGTTGAGCTGCAGACTCGCCTTTGCCAGACAGACGGCAAACACTGAAAGGACTGAAGCATGTATCTGTTATGAAGCACACACCGAAGGGTTTCAAGGACTGCAACAAAAGATACAAATATTTGAGCCCATTGTACAAAGAAGATTTTAGGGTTTTAACTTAGTATCCCTTTCGGGGGGGGGCGGCGGTTTCCCTCTTGCTTGAAGGATTTTTTAATAAATGCAAGCAACACATTTCACATCATCTCTCATGCTATGCTTGAGGTTGGGTTTATACATTTAAGAAACACTGAAAGGGAAGCACAGTTGCACAGTGATGATTTTTAATAGCTGCAGTCTCTGCATTTTACATTTAAACTTTCTCTGCACATTGTTTTAAAGGACTGAGACATTTATAAAGTAATTCAATGTTCCCCATGTGCAGCTGAAGCCTTCATGCCTTGTTCATATGCTTTCCTCCCATGTGCATATTCTACAGGCTGATAAATTCCTGTGTTGTGATGTTTTGTAGTTTCAGAGTTTCTTTGCCTTTTGTCATCTCACTTAAATATCCTGTTTTGTTTTGATTTGTTTTTTGTTTTTTTGTTTTTTTACGTAGACATTCAGCACTTCATTCTTTGTGATTTTTATTTTTTTTAATGCTTAAATAAAATAATTTGAATATGCTCATTAAATCCTTAAACAGGTCTACATCTCCTTCTGAAAAAGTACAAAGATATTCGGTGCATTTCTCAGTTTTCTTGACATGTCTCCACACTGTTTGCTGGTCACAGTAAAGTTTTCTGCGCAGATTGCTGACTTTAAACAAAAGTCATAGCATTGAAATATACTTTTAAATACTAGTACTGCTTGTTTTGCTTACATCTGATTTCACACTTCCTTCTATTATGGGATCATAGCCGTTGATATGCTACTGTTATACATTATTGCAGTTATGGATTCAAAGGAGGAGAGGAAAGGAACACTCGTAAATCCATAAGTTTCCAGCTCCAGTCTTGGCACAGGCATCATTTTAGCTTCTCCATTTGGATCAAACTGATCTGTTACTACGTGAAGTATTTTATCAATATGCCACACAGATGTGTGAATTAAAGTGAATGATCTCTGCTGTGTGCTCATGTTGTGTTTTTGATATCGGTCTTTGCTGGAAATTCAAAATGCATCCAATCAGCACCGTCGCTATTTCCAAGCACTTCTATCCACATTGTAAATGTTTCCCTGTCCCTTTGGTGCCTGTTGCACCTGAAGCCCTTGTCATAGTACAGTGATGACAAACCCTGACACACCATAGTAGCCAGAACCCTAGAAAGAAGTTATTAAAAAAAAAAAAAAGACCTAGTCTTCCTCATAATGCTCTTCCCTCAACCCTCTGTTCTTCTCTACAACAAATCAAATTACAGGTAAACACATCTGCCCCCTACACGACTTCACACAGATTCTAATCCAATCTCTGAAGCTAGTATACACTTTAATACACTCACTGTAATAGAACCTGTTACAGGTAAACTAATAAGTTGGAAATTTGGTCTCAACAAAATGGCCATTTCCAGGGCTGAATGATGTCCATTTCGCAATCCTACTACTACTTGAGGCTGCTAAAATTACCGCCGGTGGGTTTATATTGGAGTCAATTGAGAACCCAGAGCAGATAATAAGGACGTGGAAAGGTACCCTTTGCTTCAGTATGAGACCCCTAGGGGTGCGACAAATCCCAGTATTTTACACGTTGGGAATGATAATGTTCTGGATCCCTGTTTCTCCCCAGCTAGCTCACTCTTGGATGTGTTTGTTGTTTTTTTGTTTCCTCTCTTGCTCTCTCTCTCACTGCCTCCTGTCTGTCTGGGCAGAGCTCATTATGGGCTCCTGCCCTTGGCCCACGCACCTGGACTGATTATCACCAACTGCTGGTCATTGACCTAGTTTCCCTAGCAACTACTTGTGACTCAGAGCGTCTCATCGCTGGATCATTGTACAACCTGAGTTTGTGTAGCCTCGGAAAATTCCTTATCTTATTTCCTTGTGATTCTCTAGCTTTTTTCTAACTATTTGTCTCTGTACATAGATTCCCTGGACCTGCCCCTGTAACCTGTCCCAGATTCCCGAGTTCGGCTGAGTGCCATGGAGTGAGAAGGAGTCAGTGGCAGAAGAGCAGTGTGTGTAAACAGAAGAGAGTGTGGTTGTGTGCAATTTCCTTCCTTTGGAGCCCTGAACCCCTGCACATTGTATATATTTTGCAAACACACACACACATTATGTTTAAAAAAACATAAACAGACGGGCTGTTCTGACTATTTCACAAACTGATGATCTTTGAATTTTCACGCACAATCATTTGCACTTACAATGATCTGAAAATGAGAAAAAGAATCCAGTGATCATCAGTTCTCTAGGTAAAAACACCCTGTTGATGTCTTATATATACAGTCTATATATACAGACAGAACATGTTTTGTTTTTTGTTTTTTTCTCTCATCCACATCGAAAGGAGCCAGTTAAAGTGGTTCTGGCATCTGACAAGGATTCCTCCTGGGCGTTTCCCAGGTGAGGTGTACTGGCCATCTCCCACCAAGAGGAGGCCCTGAATCAGACCCAAGACATGATGGAGTTCCCATAGATAAGCTGGATGTGGAGAAGGAGGTCTGGAGTTCTCTGCTTAGGCTGCTGCTCCCACAACCCGGCCACAGATAAATGAAATAAGTAGACCAAATATAACTTGGTGTTCTAAAGAATATTGTTGTTTCCTTGCAGGACACCAGGAGAGATGAGCTCTCGATCACAGATGGTGTGGTCACCTGCAGGTTCAAGGTCATTGCATCTCCAGCCCACATCTACTGCCACTGTACTTAAGGGAAGTTGGGACAGTGTTAAAGACTTTCTTCAGACAATTGCATTTTGATGAGCTAAATTCATGACAGGCATTCAAGCAGTAATGCCTCGACTGACAAACGAACATACCAAGCTTCTGTGTTGTTTGAGCCAGAGACTACACTTGTGGATGAACAATAAAAACATTTATATTTATTATATTAGTAATGTAACTTGCAATAAAAAGTTATGGGAAGTTTGAACTTAGTTTCAGAATAATTAAATCTGAGACTTTGTTTTATTGAAAGGTTATTAAAGTTTTAAATTGTGTGACAAATAAAATAATCAATTATTAAGTAACACCAGCTACAATATTGGAAATATGTGTGTTGTTCAGCAGAACAGTGTCCAATATGTTGGCTGAAACGCTTTATTTAAATTAAAAAATAAAAGTTGGGCTGATTTCAACGCATTACAAGGAGTGTTTTAATTATTATTTTTCAAAATAAGCATACAGTGTTTATATTACGTGTTGAATTAGAAATAAGTTAAGGTAATGTGATTTAGTTGCATTCAACTTATATGCAGCAAAACTAAAAATAAGTTACTGAAGTGTTCAAATAATATGTGCTTTTAAAAATGCTCGTCTATTTAAAGACTACACAATCTGTGTTAATTATAATTATACCACAATCCCTTGCCTGTTGTGTTAAATATACATAAACAGTATGTGTTATCAGATGAAAGTACAAAACTCTCAAGAACCCCCCTCCTTGCACTGGTTGCATAAATTTCAGGTGGCATTTTTAAAACATGCCACGACATAACACACAGCTGCTGTAATCATACAGGCTACATCCACACGTACCCGGTTATTTTTGAAAACGCAGATTTTTCTATGCGTTTACCACCTTTCGTCCACACATAAACGGCGTTTTTGGTCACTGAACATGGAGATTTTTAAAAACTCCGGCCAGGGTGGATATTTTTGAAAACTCAGTTTTTGCGTTTAGGTGTGGACGAGAAAAACCGAGAAAATGCAGTGTCAAAGGTGTGCGCATTTTTTGACGTCACACTGTGCTCCACATTATTGTTTCGGTGAAATTAATTTCTACAATACTATTACTGTTAATTGTACTCTCTGCAGTGTTTGAATGCTTACATATACACACACAGTTACTGTCCCTCCACACATACAACTAGGTTCTGCTTCAATGCCCCAGCTTTGTTTACTTTTTCCCACTGAGGCTTCTAGACTTCTGATTGGCCAACATTTCTGCACGGTTAGGAATATATCGCCACCTGTTGCTTTCCCATGTTCCTAGCAGCGTTTTCCTTAATTTCTGCCTTTACGTGTGGATGGGATTATTTTTTAAAACGAAAACGGAAAATCTCCGTTTCCAAAAATACCCGTGTATGTGTGGACGTAGCCCAAATGTCAATAATCTTTATAGGTTCTTGCTATGACATAAACACAGCACAGTGGTAAGAATAATAGTTTCTAGGTTCTAAGGATTTTTGTCAGCTGGAAACAAGACCTCAAGCAATCCTAAGGCTAATTAGCAGGGCTAGCATTTTAAAATACATTTGTTAAATGTTGTCATTGCTAGGATATACCTGTATTACAGCATGGTAAGTAGCGAGAACGCTAAGTTTTTGTTACCTTTGAAAAGAAAAATGTGAAAATGTAATATTAGCATGAGCTATGCTAATGATTTTCACTCAAGCAAACATCTCAGGCACTGACTTACTGCTTTCTAATATCTGTGTTTATTTCTGGATATACCTACATGGTTATTAGACATCCCACATAAAGGGTGACAAAGGCAGTAACTACAAATGACCATAACTTTACTGTAAATTACACTGCGATGGGCTCAATTCATATAGTTCTATCACGTGCACATGCATGTTAGCAACCGTAACTAAGGCCTGCTGTAGCTATATGAATGCTGCACAAGGTTCCAGTGGAACCGTTCCTGTCGTCCCTTTACACTTGCTGTTGGACTTGTCTTGACCTGCTCCAAGCTCAGCTTGTGGATAGACAACGTTTGGAGAATATTTCTACAGAAAGCGGATTTTTACTAGAAAGCGACAACAACTACTGCATCTTTGGATCTTTTGTACTTGTGTTTCATCATAACAGCAAAGCTTGAAGATGGCTCGTCGTGGACCCCCAGTCGTCGACAGTCACCAGGTACATTTCAAAATTTCTTCAGTTATTTTAAGAGTCACTAGATGACTATAATAATTTAACAAGTTCCAGTTTGAATATCAAGTTTTAATGTGATCAAAATAAGTGTATTCCAAGACTTT